TGAACTGAACTTTTTTTAAAAAAAGTTCAAGTTCAAGTTCAGTTCAATTTTGAACTGAACTTGAACTTGGCCAAAAGGTCAGTTCAGTTCAGTTCATAGGAACACTAATATTAAGGTTAGGATTAGGGTTTGGGAAGGGTTTTTAAGGGTATAGAACATTTTTACTTAGAATATCTCACATTAATTAATTAACTAGTTTTTAAGATAATACAACATAGATAGTAAAACACCATAGGTACATTTTAGTAAAAGTGTTTTTTATTTACTATTTTTTTTGAAAAGGATTAACAATTTAAATTTGATTAATTTTATTTGTCAAAACTAGGTTGTCTCATTGTAATAAAAATTATTATTCTTTATATAAGTTATAATTTTGTATTAAAAACTATAACTTTAAAATTAATATTTAAAGAGTTTACCAAGAATATGTAAATAATTTTTTTGATTAAAAATTTTTCTAAGTTGATATATTTTGTCTTAAAATTTTTTTATAAATAAAATTAAATACTACTATAATATAATCTTTATTTTCAAATATTATTAAAAAAAAATTATTTAAATATTTTAAAATTTAAAAAATATAGATCATAAATATATTTATAATAATTTTCTAAGAAAATTTGCCTAAAAAAACCTACAAATTAAGGGATAATAATATTCTCTTAAAAAATTATTAAAAAAAATTTTAATTGGTATTTAAATATCAATTAGTAATTTTAAAAAATTTTTTGTAAATAAAATTTTTTAAAAAGCCAAAAATTAAAACTAAAGTCTAATACAATATATTATATAAAAATATTTAATTATTATATCAATTAATATTATTATAAACTTGAACTTTAATATGTATTGTAAAACTTTATTGTGTCAATCTTAAATCTAATAAATACTAAATAAAACTATTTAAAATCAAAATGCTTAACTTTTATTTATAAAGCTATTTTTTTAAATTTTATCAAAAAAATCTTTTGCAAAAGTTTATAAACTACACTTTATCAAAACTTTAAACCCTAAGTTAATTTAACTTTAATTTTTGTCTTTAAATTTTATATTAAATAAATTTACACAAATGATATTTATATAAGAAATGTCTAAATATTTAGTATATCTAAATATATATTAGTTATTTTAATTTTTTAAAATATTTCAAATTGTATAAATGATTAGAGTTAAGTAAAAACCGATATCTAATTTAACAATCTCTTTTATACAACATTTTAGGTAATATGAGCAGGATCATCTGCGCTAATTATCGTTCTAGTTGGTATCAAACTGTTTTCTAAAATATAATTGGCATTCACCATGTCATTATTTTCAACTCTAAAAATGGCCTGTTCTTCAGTTTCAGCTATTCAAGATCATTTATTAATAAGGATCTTTGTCTAAAACAGGCCAAAAATAAAAATGAAAAACATACTAGGGTGACTTTGAATACGCCTTTTGATAAGTCTTTTTTTTGCAATTTCGCGATCTATATGTAGAAACCAGAATTCGTCCATATGTGATGCAATTGAT